ATTATCATTATTATTATTATTATTATTATTATTATTATTATTATTATTATTATTATCATTATCATTATCAATAATTCTTTCACTGATATTATTATATTCATCATTGTTATCATTATCATTGCTAATATCATTATCATTACTATTATCATTATCCTTGCTATTATCATTATTCTCATTATTCTTATGGATATTGTTATCATTATTATTATTATCTTATTTTTCTATCATTATAAATATTATTACTGCTATTATTATCATCATAATTATACTTACTATTATTATAATGATAATTATTATTGTTTGTATTATTATTGTTACTGTTGTTATGATCATTATCACTGTTATTATCATCACATAATTATCATTATCATTATTGTTATTACTATTATCATTATTGTTTTTACTACTACTACTAATATTACTATTATCATTATTATTATTATTATTATTATTATTATCATTATCATTATTATCATCAATATGACTATCACCATTATTGTTATTACTTTCATCATTATTGTTTTTACTTCTATTATTATTATTACTTTTATCATTATTGTTTCTATTACTACTATTACTATTACTATTATCATTATTATTATAATCATTATCATTAATTTCATTAATATGACTATTATCTTATTATTATTATCATCGTTGTTATTATTATCATCATTACTATTACTATTGTTATTATCATTATCATTATCATTATTGCTATTATTATCAATATCATTATCATTATTATTATTGCTATTATTATCAATATCATTATCATTATTATTATTGCTATTATTATCAATATCATTATCATCATTATCATTATTATAGTTAATATCATCATTACTTTTATTTTCCTTCTTATTATCTTTATAATTGTTATCACTGTTATTATCATTATCACTGTTTTTGTTATCAATGTTACCATCATGATCATTGTTATTTTTATTGTTAGCACTATTTCTATTATTGTCATTATTATTATTATCATTATTATTATTAATAGTATTGTCATTATTATTATTATTATTATTATTATTATTATTATTATTATTATTATTATTATTATTATTATTATTATTATTATTATCATTATTATCATTATTATTGTTATTATTATTGTTGTTATTATTATTATTATTATTATTATTATTATTATTATTATTATTACTACTACTACTACTACTACTACTACTATTATTATCATCATTATTATTATAATTTCATTATTATTGTTATTATCATTTAATTAATATTATCATTATTACCATTATTATTATCATTATTATTATTATTATTTTTATTATTATTATCAGTATTATTATTATCATTATTATTGTTATCATTATTGTTATTATTATTATTATTGTTGTTATTATTTCATGATTGTTATTAATGTTATTGTTTTATTATTATCACTATATTATTATTGTTGTTGCTGTTGTTGTACATATCATCATCTTTATTGTTATTATCATTATTATCATTATTATAATAATTATTATTATTATTATTATTATTATTATTATTATTATTATTATTATTATTATTATTATTATTATTATTATTATCATTATTATTACTATTATCATTATTATTATTATTATTATTATTATTGTTATTATTATTATGCTTATTGTTATTATTATTATTATCTTTATTATCATTATTATTATTATCATTATCATCAGTAGTAGTAGTAATAATAATATTAGTGACAACAGTAATAGTAGTATGATTATAATCATCATCACCATTATCATTATCATCATTATCTTATTCTTTTTATTACCATTCTTAATATAATTATTTCGATAATCATTTTTAATAATAATGAAAATATTCTTCATCGTATAGGCTCGTCGACTAGTCCGTGACATTTGAATTTGCTAATGTAATTCCAATATATATAGTGCATGTATCTATATTTGATATCAGTGTTCATTAGGAAGTAAACATGTAATTAAATAATGATCTAATTTGAAGAGTAAATGCATGAATTTATAAATAAATATGAAGCATTAATTAAGAAACGAGTCTATGACCATTGCCGCGGAGCCCTTTAACTCGCAAGAAAGACGAGTAAGATCTTGGCCTCGGAATTAACTGCTCAATTATCGTTTTATTGGCGTTTTATTGGGGGTTTTAGAGTGTTGTGCTGCTTTATTTATTACGGTTGATCATGGATACAACGGAACTGCATCGTGGAGTAGTTTAATATGGCGCGTGGAGCCGACTGGAAGGGAGGAGTTTGAATAGTTTAGCCTTTGGTGAGTTCCGGGCGTGATATGTGCATATTACGCCAAGTTATGTTTACTAGTCTTTATTCGTGTGATCATTTTTTTTTATTAACATCCTATCATCGTTTAGTTTTTCCATTTAACTTGCCGTGTTCTTGCTGATTTCTTGTTATTTTTCTTGCTCTTCATTATTGTCTTCCCCTTCATTATTGTGTTCCCCTTTTGTTTCATATTATCCCTCTCCTCTGTCTTCACCAATG